AGTCATCACTCACTGATGCTACTCTGGCCTGAGCCACCCCCCGGCCCCCTGTCACTGAAGTCAATACCCCAGCGTGTTCTTGTGTAGGTTCTAAGGTTTCTGCCAAGGAGTATTAGGGGGCATCAGAGCTGGATCTATCCGTGGTGTCCTGAGAGCAGGATGTAACTGGGGCAGGTGAGGTGCAGAACTTTGGGGGAACTGGCTGCTCCTAGGGCACTGAGTCCTTGGCAGGCACTGCTGCTCTGCTTGCATGCCCTGCCCAGTCCCCTTCTCTGAGCCAGGACCTTCCCTGCCTTGCCCTTGCACCTCCCTTTGTACCTCCAGATCCTCAAGTTTTTCTCAGAAAAAAGTGGGGGCCAGAGAAGTTCCTCATCCATTCTAACAGGTCCCCATGGCTCCCCCTCCAAGCCTTTGCTTCAGTGGAACCCATGCCTGGAATACCTTGTCTCTACCCCACGGAACTGTGCTCATTCTTGAGCATTGTCATGCCGCCCCCAATATAGTGCTCCCTTCCCCAATCCTATGGCTGCAGTCAGCAGCCCAAGCCACTACACACTGGTAGAGCACCCACGAGGGTGTGTGCAGTCCATCAGGCTGTGACTCTCCTAGGCTGGGAAGTTACCTCATGTGCTCTGCACTGAGCATGGGAGAGGGGGCACCTGGCTGGAGAGGGGACTGGTGTCCAGAGTGGCAGCTGAGCTGCTGAGGGTCCTAAGAGTGCCCATCCTGCCAGGTGTGGCCATCTCTGCGCCTGAGCCTCCGCCCCCACCATGCAGGAGGCCTGGCCCGTCAGGGTGATTACAGGAATTGCCCCCTTGAAAGTACCTGCCTTCTCCTTTGAAAGTATTACTGACAGCTTTTCTCATTCTTTTTTCTTTACCTCTTTAAGGAACCCTGTAATTTCTTTCTTTCTCTCTCCCCCCTCCTTTTTTCTTTCTTGTCCCTTCTGTCCCCCTAAAACTCTTTGAAATTGGCTCTCTGCCTGCTGACACCAAACTGATACTTTGCGTTTCACTTCTCCTTATCCCTTTATGGCAACAGATGTTGAAATTTTGTATCCTTTTATCTGCCCGGCTGCCCCTTCCTGTAATTACGGTCCCCTTGTTAGCAGTACAAAGTGGGCTGCCTGGCCGCCTGGCCTTTGAGCCATTGTGTCTGAACACGTGTGCACGGGTGGGTGCTGGGGACTGTGCACACATTCGTGTATGTGAGGCTGTGTGTAGGGAGCACCCAGCCCTCACCTGATGAGGGTGGGCAGGGAGGCTGCCACCCTTTCCCTTGTCACACCTCCACTGCCCCCTCCCCAACCAGGATGGTAGAGAGACCTGTAGATAGGTAAGGGCCGAGATGGCCAGGTGTCTGCTGGGCAAGTCTAATTGTGCCGCTTCATGGTATGTGTGGATATGGCAGTGCCTGAGGGTGGTATTGCCTATGACAGTGGGAAGTGTCACCAGAAAAAGCCTGTCCTCCAGAGCATGTGGGCCTCAGCTCCCTGGGGTGCCACCTCTGTAAGATGGGGTTAGAGTACACCCCCAGGCCTGCTGTGAAGAATGAAGCAGGTTGTATAGGGCACTCAGCAAATGTTCTAAACCCAGCTCTGGTGGCGGCTCTGCCACCAGCAGCCAGTGCAGCTGTCACTGGCCCCAGCAGTCAGAGAGTAGGCCCTGCCCCTCTGTGAGCTTGTTTCTCTCGCCCTAGCACCTAAGTAAGCAAGCTACTTGTCCTCGGAAGCCCTGTTTTCCTCAGCTGCAGTCAGGGCTAGTCCAGGACAGGTGCTCCCTCTGCTCTGAAGTTCAGGTACCCTGTCCCTCCAAGGCTGTGCTAGCATACAGGGGTGTGCACCCTAATGCCCCCCAGGGATAGAGGCCAGGTCCTGCTGGCCAGTCCCCTCTCCGGGCCTCTAGCTTGATGGCCCTTGCTGTGCCCTTTGCTGCTGCCGCCACTTGGGCTTGAGCCATCCCCTCCTGTCACTGAAGTTAAGACTCCAGGTTGTTCTGTCCTTAACTGTCCCACTCAAGCCCCCTGGTACCCACCAAGTCACACTCTGGGCTGCTGGGGGATACTCAGTGCAGGCTTCTCTGTCCATGTCTCCACCTGGGGCAGCCCATGCCTCCTCAGGGTTCTGTGGTGAGCCGGGACTTGGTTACTGGCTGCTGACCAAAGTGAGGGAGAGAGGGAGGGAGGTGGAGGGAGGGAAAACCTCCCATTCTTAGCTTTTGCCTTCAGGCCTCCTCAGTGTGGAGAGCACAGCTACAGGAAGGGAAACTGCAACTTTTCTATCCTCTTCTCAAAAACAATTGTCACATTTTGCAGTTTAACATTCCAGAAAGCACCCGGAGGGTCTGCAGAAAGCAGCAGGAACCCGGGCAGGGTGGGTAAGGGTGGGGGCAGGTGCCCGGAATCTGGGACAGAAGTGCAGCAGAGCCCCCAGATTTGGGGCTCTACCAGGCCCAGTTTGATGCCAACTATGCCCCCCATGCCTGCCCAGATGGGACAGCCTGGTCTTCAGGGCCAGCACCTCCTGCAGCTTGCTGTCTCTCAGGTGGTGAGAGGGTCTCCAGGTTTTATTTGACTTTTCTCAGCTCTGACCTGTTCCCCAGGCAGGCCCATCTGGCTTTACCTTCCCCTGGCTGGAGGGAGAATTACTGGAATTGGGCTCAGAGAGGCTGGGCTGTGCAGGCCCCCAGGCTTTGTCCAGGGGAGCTGGAAGGGAATTGCCTTTTTGTCTGGCTCTCCAAAGTGACAGACCTGGCCCTCACTCTGCCCCAGGGCTCCAGGCTCTGAGTTGCAGTCCTGTTCCCACACAAGCTGGGTAACACCAGGGCTGGCTAGGCATCTTCCTTGACCCCCCAGAGAGAGGCCGCAAAACATTCTTGACATTCTTTCAGAAGAAAAGGGGGGAAACGCGTGAATTTGGGGGTTGCCACTTCATACAAATTGCAATCTAATCGTTTTTACAAGAACACACTTGCAGTAAGAAAAGGAGCCCAGGAGGAGGGGATGAAGGGACAAACAGCTGGTTTTGTCCCCATCCCCCGAAAGTTGAGGACTATTGTCATGAGCTCTCCCTCCACTCGGAGTAGAGGAGCCAGCTTTCTAGTTGAATCGGGGCAGGGGAGGGGAGGGGGGAGGCTGCCAGGGGCCTACCGTGCCATTTCTGTTTGTTTTCCCAAATCAAAGCCCCAGCAGGGCTCCGATGGCACTGCTGGACTGCTATTGCAAGGGCAGGGCCATTTCCCAGAGCCTGGTGCGTCAGTTTACGCTCTGAACTTAACCTCACAACAGAGCTTTGAGGGTCTCAGGCTTCGAGGCAAAAGAAAGTGTATCTTTTTATTGGCCCATTTACAGTGTGTGTGGCCATTTCAGAGGCTAGGCAGGGCTGGCCGATGGGACTCACTCTGGCCTTGTCTTGGCCCCCAGTGGCTGGTGCTTGCTTGGGCCTTTGGCTTTTCCTTACAGCACGGGGATTCTCTGGACTGGTTCACATCAGCCACCACCATGCCAGCTTGGGTGCTAGGCTAGGGGCCCAAGAGGGCAGCTTGTTCAGGGTGTGCCCAACTGCTGCCCCTCTCCTTCCCTTAGAACCCTGGGACCCTTACGTGCGGGGCAGGCAGAGCCACGTGGGGCTTCACTCCTCCCAACAACACCCCTGCCCTTTCATCTTCTATTTCAAACAAACATGAAATTACTTCTGTAGATTAAAGGGGAGAGCTCCTCAATCATTAAAGCCTCACTAATGGAGGGGGCAGGGCCCCCAAAACTGGAGAGAGAGAACTGTGGAACAAAACAGCCCCTGTGTTATGTACATGAGCATCCCTGCTGGGGGCTGGTGGCCTATCTGGGAAGGCAGTGATCTCCAGGTATTGCTGATGCTGGGAGCCCCCAGTTCCCACAGGCACGTCAGCCTCCCTGGAGCCTAAATTGCCACCAGAGAGCCTGCCCCGAGTGGACAGGCAGGAGTGCAGGCAATTAGGGAACATGGCAGCTCTGTTGAGAAGGGGCATGGAAGGCAAGCCTAGATGAGTTGGCAGCCCTTGGTTGAAACACTGCTTGAGCATCACTGTAAAGGGTCCACAGCATTGGTTCTCCTGTGATGCCAGAGGATGGCCTGGATCTCGTGGGTGAAGGAGCCTGAGGCACTGAGTCTGAACGGTATCCCTTCACCGTCATTTCCCTATCATTCTGCAGAAACTTAGTACTTCCACCATGCCAGGGATTAGCGGGTGCACTTGATGTTGAGGATAGTTGCTAGGGCCAGAAGGCCCCCCTAGGTAGTTGCTAGGGGTCTGGCATCAGGGCGCAGGGTCTGCCCACTACCGCGGTCACGGAGGGAATTGCACAGTCACAAAGCAATTGTTCTTTTCAGTAATCTGCTCTCGGCCACCGGGTGGAGTGAGGGCGGGGGCAGTAGGCTAGAGCCCAGCAGGCTGGGGGCTGTGATCACAGAGGCGTGCTAGCCCCGGGCTGGGGGCCAGCCAGGCCAGGAGCACCAGGGACCGGCCCACTAAGCTGCTTTCTCAGCGATTTCTCGGCCCAGACACAAAGGTGTTTACTTGTTTTAACATCTCCTGGGACTCCCCTTCTCCCTTTGTGTGGTCTTTATCCCCAATGAGGTTTGAGCCCCAGATTACAGGCAGGAATTAAGGCATTGGACTCAGGCAGCTCAGAACTGCATGACCTGCAAGATCAAGGAGTATAAAGTAACCAAGTGTGTGTGAGGGAGGGGGCCCTTCAGCAAGGCCTATTCATGGTATGAGAAGGGGCGGTGGGCAGCCTGCATGCAGGTGTGGCGGGGGTTGTGGGTGGGTGTGGGGCTGTGACACTGGGGGTGGGGAGGGCCGGGGCTCGGTAGAAGCTGCAACATCTCCCTACCCTGGGGAGTCTATCTCCAGCAGGGCAAAGGAGCTGTGGGCATCTCCCAAAGAGCCAGTGCCAACCTGTGGGTTAATGAACTCTTCAGTGGGAGAAGGGAGCCACTATTCTGCCCTTCTCCTCCCCAGTGGGCAGCTGATCATGCACTTGGGCAGTGACTTCCCTCCGGGGGCTGGAGTGCTGGATGTCATGTATGAGTCCCCTTCCACACTGCTATCCTGTGGCTACGACACCTATGTTCGCTACTGGGATCTCCGCACCAGTGCCCGGTGAGTGTGCTGTGCAGGGAGGACGGGGGAGGGGAGCACTGGATTGGCCCACATGATTCCCACCCCCCACGCAGCCTCCTTGTCAGGCTGGGAAGGAAGTCTAGGTCCTCTCAAGCTTAGACGCCTTCCCTCTGGGGCATCCCAGTCCTCCTACCTGGGAGCCTGCGGACCTCTGGAGCTGCCAGGGTATTGTCCTCAGCATTCTGTTCCAGTCTGCTTTTTAACTACAGAATTGTTTATTCATTTGCAAAGCACAGAGCCCTCCCACATTACCTCACTCCTCAGATGCCCACAGTACGCTGACCTCAATCCTGTTCTCCTAGGTAGGAGGTGGGGACTCAACTGCTGCCTCCCAGGGGCACCTTCTGCACACTAGCAGAAAGCTGGAATTAGAAGCTCAGCATTCCCAGGTAGAATACAGGTGTCCTAAGTGGTCTTATTTATTGCACCAACATCTGTCCTGACCTAGCCCTTCATGACTTTCCCCCGTCATGAAGTCTGTGACCAGCAGCAGAGCACAGAGAGGAAGGCTATTCTACTCTATGGTCTAGGGCTTGGAATGAGAGTCCCCTGCTGGAGGTGGCCTTCTCAGGTAACTGGTTTTGAAAGAATCCTGATGGGGCTGCATCCCATATGGCACTAGTTCAAGTCCCAGCTTCTCCACTTTTGAGCCAGAGCCCAACTTCTGACCTGGGAGAGGATGGGTCAAGTCCTTTGGCCCCTGCACCTGTGTCAGAAACCTGGCAGTAGCTCCTGGCTCCCAGCTTCAGACAGGCCCAGCTATGGCTGTTGTGGCCATTAAGGGAGTAAACCTACAAGATCTGGCTTCCTTCTCTAAAACTTTAAGAAAAAAAAAGTCTAGTGATTCGGCTTCCCTCTTCTCCCAGCCCAGAGTAGCTCCCCACCCCTCCCTAGGACTCCAGGGAAGGCACCCAAGCCACTCCTTGCATCTCTTCTTGGACAGGAAATGTGTCATGGAGTGGGAGGAGCCACATGACAGCACCCTGTACTGCCTGCAAACAGATGGCAACCACCTGCTGGCCACGGGTTCCTCCTACTACGGTGTTGTCCGGCTGTGGGACAGGCGCCAGAGGGCCTGCCTGCATGTAAGTGCTCTGCCCACATCACACCTCTAGGGGGCCAGGACTTGTGCTGTATCAGGGAGTGCGTGCTATGGCCAAGGATGTGCCTGGGGAGGAGGGGGAGAAGGCTAGAATGGCACCTGTCCCTGCTTCCCTGGGTCCAGAGACTGTTTGGAAAACTCATCACCTCTCCTTTCCTCCTTCTAGGCCTTTCCACTAACATCAACTCCATTAAGCAGTCCTGTATACTGCCTGCGTTTCACCACCACACATCTCTATGCTGCGCTGTCTTACAACCTCCACGTCTTGGACTTTCAAAATCCATGACAGGCTCCCCCTTGCCTGTGTGCCAGGGAAGCCAGTTACTCAGGGACCTCTCTCACCTGGAGGTACAGTGACACCTCTGCTGCTGCTGCCCCCCAAGACCTGTGGCCACTATGCACGGGCCCACAAGCTAGAGGGACTGAGTGCTAGGCTGGATCCTGCCACTCTGAATGTACAACTCGACTGGGCGTTGTGCCCCTCTCTGGTTGAACAAGGATTGAGCTGGCAAGGCTCACTCTGCACCCTACCCTTTGTGAGGCGACAGCAGCCTATAGGTAAGGTGAGGCACTCCTGCCTTTCTTGAAGAGGAAGATACCCTGCCAGCACAAGCTCTCTCCTCAGTCAGACCCCACCCTTGGTGGAGCAGATGGGGTATACAGGTCTTTATTCCTGGCACCTAGAAAAGACCAAAGGAATCCACCAGTTCTGAGTGAGTCATTGAGGTGGGCTATGGAAGACATGCTACCAAATGTCCAATTTTGTAGAAAATAAAAACTTGATTGTTCAGATATGGTCCTTTACTGGCTTGACAGTGAGGAGAGACAGATCAAATTCAGGGCTGTGTATGCTGGGCAAAACCCAAGCATGTCTCCTTCCTACCCCTCCTGGAACCTGGGAGGCACAGGGAAAGGATGACAGTGAGTAACAGCACTGTCACCCTAAGGGTCCCTTACCCACTCCATCTTAGGGCGTTCCCCATGAGTCACGGATGCAAGTTAAAGTGACATGAAGGTCTCTGGGAGCCCTGTCCTCCTGGGATCACAGGCTCCTACCCTCTCAAGTGGGGCCTGGGGCCAGGCAGCAATATGGAGGTTGACGGGGACAGTCCATCTGTAGAAACTCACAATGACTTTACTCAGGAAGTACGTCCAGGCACGACACAGACCTTGGAAGGCTGCACTGCCCAGCTTCCTATGGACCCTGGGGAGCTCCTAGAAGAGAGGAGGCTGCCCCCTGCTGGAGAGACCCAAGCCTCAATGCTTCCCTCCATGCTGCAGGGTCAAAGCCCTGGCTGCTACTGGGTCTTGCAGTCCCCATCACTGCCGTGGGCCGTCTTTACCTTCTTGAGCTCCTTCTGTAGCTCTGACTCAGCTGCCACAACCTCCTTTGGCTTCTGATACTGTGGATGAACCAGGCAGAGGGCACAATTCAATCTTGGGGGGGGGGTCACTGAACACTCCCCCAAAACACAGACTCCAGGCTCCTTCTGATCTTATTTGCATATGAAGACATTGAGTCCTACAGGGTGGAATGACTGGCGCAAGGTCATGAGGCTGTATAGAAAAGAACCTTGGGCCACACCCAGTCCTGATTCCCCCCCTCCTCCCCACACTCCCCAGGCTAAGCCAGACACAATGCTGAGAAGTGTAGCCTCTTCCCCATTGCAGTGGTTGGGAGGTCTCAGTGCAACTTACGGAGATGATCAGGGTACAGTTGGCATGAGCAACGCTCAGAGAGGCCTCATCCAGGGGGAGCTGGTGTCTGTCAAGGTCAGGAATGGAGAACTTCTTGTAGTACCTATGGGAATGCCAGTATTGAAGATCTCAGTGACCCTGGAAAGAGGATGCCAGTTCCTGGCCAGCCCAGCAGAATAAGCAGACAACCAGTCATACTTCTGTGGCGAAACCACACCGCAAGGAGCCATGGAAACTCATCTGGGGCTCTACTGCCTTCCTTGTCCCAAGACACCATGTCACCTCTTCACACACCACACATGGTCCCTGCACTCTGGGGAGGAGGGAGCTTCGGATTTAATGGCATCTCCGTGGGTACCAGCCCATAGATGAACTATCTTCTAGGGAAAAGTCAGCAATGTCTTGGTTTTGCAGAGACTCTGACCTCATTTACCAGAGAGGAAGTTCAGGCTCTGAGACATGGAATCTCCTACCTACTTTCTCAGCCAGGTGACAGGATTAGAAGGAAGCCCCTCGCTCTGAACCCCACATGAGGACAACACAGCATGACAAACAGCTCCTTTTCTGAACTCCAGGCCCACCAGCATTTGCTTTTGTAGAGGTGTAGGCCAGCCTAGGCTAGGGGCTGCCAGGTTTGCCTCCTGGACAGAGTCCCTTTTTTGCTGCACAGGTTGTGTGGGCTGTGGAGGGAAACGCCCTCAGGCAGGTACAAACAAACTTCAGTGAGGGGCCTGGAGAGGACGGGCATTTCCTACTTCAGAGGGCCTGGTCCTTGTGCTGACAGCTACCCCAGTCCACTTCAAAGGCTCCCGAGGCCACGGGGATTCAGGGAGCTGACATCAATGAGACACTTCTGCCCCTGTTCTCCCTGCCCAAATCCCTCCATTCCACAAAGGCTTGGGCAGGTTCCCCACTCCCCATCAAGGTGCTGGGACCCAAGGCAGGAAAAGAATGTTTACTTAAAGGCTGACAGTTCAAAAGGAGTGGGGGGTGGGAGGTCCCTGGCTTCCAAAGCTCTGCCCCAGGGAACGGCAGCCATCTGCCTGCAGAAGGAATGCCTGCTTCCCCCTTCCCAGCCAGCCCTGCTCAAGGCCCTTCCTGGGGCCCTTGCTCTGGCCAGCAAAGGTGGCAGCCACTGATAATAGGGGGAGTCAAAGGTTAAACAGCACAGATTAGATGAACACAAAAGCTTGTTAGGAAGTGTTAACATCTTCCCTGCAAATATACACAAAGGGTAGAACCAGGAAAAGGGCAGCCCAGCAGAACTGTTCCCCAGGCTGGACCAACAGGACTGGAGAAAACTACCACCCTCGGATCCTGGCCTCAAGGACATCAGGTAAGTCACTTCCTGATCTCATGGCCACCTCCAGGTTCTGGGATGCAGGCCAGCTTGGGGTGCAGCCGCTCAGCTTGGTGTCCTAATGGATTTTATTCACGGGCTGAGGTTAAAAACTTTTCCTTATAGCCAGTGCTCAAGGGAGTTGGGGACATGGGCTGTCTCTTCGGGGGCCTCTCACTTGCATTTCCCAAGCCTCAGAGCTGGCCAAGCTAGGGAACAACACTTGACTTCCTCACCAGCACCTGGACAAGACAGGGCCTCAGCATGCTCTGGACGAGACTGCTGCAGCGGGAGGGAGGCTGCAGACACGCACGGCCCCACCCACCGTGTTCCAGGCCTGGAGCTGGGAGCTTGGAACTTTGTGAAGAAGAAACAAGACCGCATCCTGGCCTGGGAGACCTTGTTGTCTCTCTGCTAAAGGAAACAAACTGACCGCATGGTGGTTCCCCGCACCCTGTAGGAGTCCAGCTTTCCCCACCCCCACCCCCACCTCCCTTCACTCATCTGTGCCAGCCACAGCGAGCAAGGAAGTCTTTTCTGATGCTTCCCGGGTGCCAGGCACTGCTAAACACACTTCACCTGCCAAACACCTGAGGCGGTTCCTTCAATTCTCTTACAGAACAAATTGAGGCACAGGAATGCCAGGTCAACAGAAAGGCCCCTATTACAAGTAGTAATTCCCCAAACTCCTGTCCCCTCCATCCCTTCTCACTCTAACCACCAAGTAACTGATCCCCTGGTATAGATCCCAGCATCTAAGCAGGGGCGGAGCACAGACTGGGGTATGAAGCATCGGTGTCCAGCAATGAACAGCTCTGTATCCTCGCAGAGCCACCTGCCCTGCTGGGGACCCCTAGCTATTTTCTCCAACACATGGCTAACAAATGGCCTAGAAACCAAGTCTTACAAGGCCTCCTGGGGAAGCCATGGCTCCAGTAGGACTTCTGACCCTGCTCTGTCCCCTGGGGACACTACTGTGCCTGTTTCTTCTTCCAAACTCCTTCCTCCAAAAAAGCAGCTGGCTTACATGAACACCAGGCCACCGACCTGCTCGGAACCGCTTTGTTCCCAATGCCAGACACTTGTTGCAAATCGGCTATTTCAAAATACAAATCCCTCCGACCTCTTCCTTTTTTCTTCCATGCTTCATTCCCAGCTCTTCCTCACCCATTCTTCTACATGGTGAACCTAGAGGCCAGGTTCCCAGTGAGAACACACTCCTGGAGGAGCAGCTGTGTGTAGGTGCCTTCCACCTTGCCCATGCACTTCACCTCCTGTACGCCAGTTTGGCTAAAGGCATTCTGAGAAGCTGCCAACTGGTCCTACTTCGAACAAACTGTCAGGGAAGTCTTTCCAATCTTTCCACACACCAAGGCCCAAGGCAAGCTGGACACCTTCCCTGCAGGTGCCCCTGCCGGGCAGTCAACACACACACACTCACTCACTCTCTCTCTCTCAGGGCCCTATCAAAGACAGGCTTGGTTAATCCAGAGTTTTCTAAGGTGTTTGATCACAAAATCCCTTTTCCTAGAGAAACCTATTAACACCTCCCACTGTGCCAGTATCACTGATGTCAAATCAGCCAAACTAAGCACTCTTCAGATTCCAAATTTCCAGATCAGTTAGGAACCTGCTTCAGCCTGCTACAGTGCTGGGTGCTTGCACATACATGATTCCCTCAAATTGCCCCCAGACCCTGAGGCAGGCGTGCGTCTCCTGTGACAGACGAGGAAGCCTTGCCTCACACAAAAGAGGCCAGAGAAGCCAAGGTCCCCTGTTGCAAGCCGCATCTGTATGCACTGGCCACATGCTGTGCCTAAAATGGCGCCGGCCGGAGAAGCCACACCTTCGTGCGTGTCACGTAGCCTAGCGCATGCGCAGTGAGCTGCGGCGTGGCTGGCACGTGAACACTGGGGACTGACGAATCCAGTCGCCCAGGACCCTGCGTGATCATGACGCCGACCTATCATCGGCGGAGGCGGGGCCAGTCAGCACATAAGAGCAGAAAGACTGCCGGGGTCGCCCCCCTTCCTCTTCCTCATCTTTGTGCGCGCAATAAACTTTACCGCAGAAGGCTTCACTCGCGTCTGCCTCTTACTGCTGGGCGGTAAGACACGTGGGCGCGACAACTGGTGCCGGGAACCCGGGACCTGGAGGGGGCCTCCCGTTTCGAACGGGAGGAAGTCAGAACTGCGGCCAAAAGACAGGTAAGGAGCTCTGAGAGGGAGAACTTTCGGGTGACTAGGAGCATAAATCGGAGGTATAGGAACCACCGCTTCTGGTTATAGACATGGGCGCACGGTTCTCTCTGGTGAAATTTTTGCAGAGGGTTTATGCCCTCCGTAGGGGAGCGGTCAGAGAGAGTGACAAAGCCCTTCAGTCTGCCCAGGATAGTCTCTCAGAAACAGAGCGGGAGAGGAGAACCGGTTTGAAGCAAAAAATAGAGGTGAAATTGAAAGCAGTATCTTCCTCATCAAATTCGGAGACGTCCGACGCGGAGGAAGGGTACAAGCGGGATAGGCGCTTAGAACGCAAACAACCCGCAGGAAACAGAGGAGGATCAGAAAAGGAGAAGAAAGAGAATGGCGGTGCTACTGCGCCGGCCACGCTCGGCCCATGGCCTCAGGGCTCTGGAGCCATTTCACTAATGGCTCCTCCTGCTGTGAAGCCATCTGCCCCGCAGGTAATCCAACACTGCTTGGAGGCATGGGCCGAGTGGGGTAAACCTGAATGTATTAAGACTGATAATGGTCCCGCCTATACTTCAGCCAAATTTCGTGATTTTTGCATGAAGATGGGCGTCAAATTAGTGACTGGCATCCCTTATAATCCACAAGGTCAGGGGATAATCGAACGTGCTCATCGCTCTATTAAGGAATTGTTACAAAAACAAAAAACCACCTGGGAATCACTTGGTCTCGCCAGTCAGAGCCCTCGGGCCACTCTAGCCCTGGCTCTCTTCACCATCAATTTTTTACAGCTGGATGAGCAAGGCCTTAGTGCTGCAGATCGTCATTCCCTTAACACGGCGCAAGAGCAATCTTGGGTCAAGTGGAAGGATGTTCTGGAGTCCAAATGGAAGGGCCCAGACCCAGTTATTAGGCAGGCTCGAGGAGCCATTTGTGTGTTTCCACAGGACGCCCCAGTTCCGGTTTGGGTTCCAGCTCGATTGACTCGTTCCTGTCCATCACCGCCTTCTGACGTTTCTGCAACCGCTGGAGTGCTTACACCAGGATCTGACTTGGGGAAGATTCATGCAACCCCGCAATCAGAAACTCCTCCTACAATCCCACAGGACAATGGTGCCCCGCCCAGTGCAAACACGGCTGATGGTGCAACTAATGGTCTGTATGGCGCTTGTGAGGACCTTGATTGCTGAGCCACGATGAGGAGTTTTGAGTGTTTTTCCACGACCCTTACCGGTCGCCCACTCAGCCCGAGTGTTTCCTTGATTTTTTCTTCTTTGGATTTGCCTTTTCTCCCTTATGATGATATTAAGGAGAATGTGAGTAATTTTTTATTCCCCCTACAGGACGCGCTTTGTTTTCAAGCATTTCCTGAGAATTTTAGTGTCAAGGTTTATGTGTTACTTCCATTCCTTTTCAGAATGTTTCAACGGCTGCTAATATTTCTTGCCAGCTTTCTTCTTATCTTTTAGGAAATTGGACGAGAGAATTTGATATTTTACAGTCGGAGTTGAGAATTGCCATTGTCCAGATTAATTCTACATGGGTGGATCCTGTTGTTGCTGAAACCCTGGCCACTTGGATTTGGAACATCACTTCCCATATTAAGGAATGGGTGGGAGTGGTTGTGCTGATTCTGCTCTTGTGTGCAGGCTGTGCCTTATGCCTTTTTTGCCTGTGTCATCTGAGACACCGCGCTCAGCGAGATCGTGTGGTAATACATCAAGCCCTACTAGCCATGCAGTATGGTGACTCCCCCATGGTATGGTTGAGCATGCTTCAACGGGTTTAGTTAAGAGCATGGACATCATGGCTCCTGCACCTCAGGCCATTATGGCATTGCACTGAGTTCGAGCATGATGCACCTGACTAGCCCTTGCACCTCGCAGGACTTATCCATTGCACGCGAGAGGGTAGTCACTCTTATAACTGCCTTGTCGAGACATTGCTCTTTACAACCACCGCGGTTGTAGCCCATGACGGGTAAGATAGACCCAGACAATTATCGGTCTAAGACAGGGACTACGTCAAGCTACGCAGCCTCCCTATGACGGATCGTGCGCCTTGAGTCTACAACCTAAGACAGGCCCATACCAGCTTATTTTTTCTATTGTGTAAGAAGGGGAGAGATGTTGCAAGCCGCATCTGTATGCACTGGCCACATGCTGTGCCTAAAATGGCGCCGGCCGGAGAAGCCACACCTTCGTGCGTGTCACGTAGCCTAGCGCATGCGCAGTGAGCTGCGGCGTGGCTGGCACGTGAACACTGGGGACTGACGAATCCAGTCGCCCAGGACCCTGCGTGATCATGACGCCGACCTATCATCGGCGGAGGCGGGGCCAGTCAGCACATAAGAGCAGAAAGACTGCCGGGGTCGCCCCCCTTCCTCTTCCTCATCTTTGTGCGCGCAATAAACTTTACCGCAGAAGGCTTCACTCGCGTCTGCCTCTTACTGCTGGGCGGTAAGACACGTGGGCGCGACAGTCCCCCACTCCAGCACCAACCAGCCTCTAGGCTAGGGCTACACACCTTCCCTTGCCCCATCCTCAGCAGAGACAGACGGTGCCATGCAGCAATCCTGGAGAGCCCTCTCTCCCCTGGTTCCTCCCTCACTAGCATCTGAGGAACACAACATGGGAGGGTCACCGTCTTCCAGCAGAGTGGCCAACCCAGTTCTCCGGGAAACACTGGCATGAACAGAGAAACTGGCTCTGGTCAGTGACCACATTCCAGAATGTCAGAACTGGGTGGGCACAGAGCCAGCAGGCGGTGAAGGTCAACTTGGAGAAATGGCACATTTGGTGGCGGTACTGGGAGCATTACACTTGCGGGACAGGTCATACTGCCTTTCTTTGAGCAGCTCAGTTCATCACAGAGTGCACTTACACATGCATGTGATCATTCGGACATGACACCAGAATAAACAAAGATGGGGGACAGGTGTTTACCCTAGCAGGGAAGGTTCTGGCTGGGACACTAAGTCCCTGGGTTTGGTCCCTGGCTCAGGCTCCTGGGTCTGGCTTTCTGATAAGGCAGACCCCAAAACATAGTGGTGATTGCTCCTATTGCAGGCGACAGGGATGGCTGAGCTCTACCTAGCTTCTAGAGCCCATCTCAGCAGGGACTGTGGCAGGACTTGGGCGGAGTGAATCCACAGGTGGGAGCTCTCCTCTCTCCATAGCTACTACCTCTTAAAGTTTCTCAACGTTAAAACAGCAGATGTTGGAAGTATCCAGAGCTAACACTGCTCCAAGGAACAGTCACTGAGTTCAGTCTAAGGAAGAGAAGTGCAGGTACAAGACACATCACTCCATCTGGGAGGTGAAGGGTCGGTGGCCTCCCACTCTACCTCTCTGGAGATGGGACTGAGCCAGTCTGCAACACTGGGCCAGGAGCTCAGTGTGGGCTTCAAACTGAGAACAGAAACTCCCCTCTCTTCCATGGGAATGCCACTTCCAGCCCTAACCTCTGAGTGCATCACCCCATCCCTCTTGGTCTCATCCAGTACTTCCCAAGTGCCACAATCAGCCTCCAGCCATGGAGCTCCTGGACAACAGCGCCACCTACAGCTGGATGCGTGCAGGATATGGGCCCCAGAGGACAGGCAGCAGATGAATTTTGTGGTGAGCCAGCTGGCCCCTTGTCGTCTACTCCCTGGTAATCACATTTCTGCCAGATATCTGCATTCAACAGTGACCTCTGGGGGACAAAGAGGGGGCAGCAGCCAGCTCCACAAAGTGCTAGGCTGCAGATTCAAGTGCTATCAGAAGCACTTTTGTTCCGAGTTTGGACCCAGGGCCCCTTACGCCAGGGAACACTTGCTGAAGCACGGAGTTTGTTTTCCTACAGGCAATTTCTCTGTTGTCTGAAATTGCTAAATTCCACTTTCAGCACTGACTCCTGTTAATGATGAGAACAATAACGGGAATAAACTGCCTTTTATCTGAGGACTTGAAAGTACTTTATAAACGCAAACCTTTATTATTATGACTTTATATTTATAGACAAGGCCCACTGCAGGGGCTGCTGGCTGCATGTACAGCAATAATCCTGAAATTAATTCATTCATCTCCACCCTTTCCCCTGTCCCCTTAACCCTGCCAAAGCACTGGGCTATGAGAGTCCTAAGAGGACAGAACCCAAGGCTGCACTGGGGGAGCCTGAGAGCCTGTGACTTGCCTGTGGGCCTCAGGAGGCTGACAGAGATGGGAGGGGCTGTCCACTCAAAGAACAAGGATCCAGTGCCTCTGGAAGGGAAGCATGGGGCATCCAGGCACCTGGTGATTGGGGTTAGAAGCCCTATGGGGGGTGGGATGCCAGGCGGCTTCACAGCTCACGACTACCAGCTTCAGTCCATAACCCCCTGGCCTAGGTCAAGACTGACTCATTTCAGGGATATTCTCTTCTATCCGTCAGAATTCCAGGAACTCAAAAGGATCAATGCATTTCCAAGACAGGAATGCACCTCCGCCACCATCTGTCCCATGAACACCCCGACAAGTGACCCCCCCCCCAGCAGCAGATAACAAAGGGAGGCTGAGTTCCCGCTTTGAAACCTAATGCAAGAGGCTTCCAAGAAGCCAAGGCACCTGCCCACTGCACCCCAGTCCAGGGCGGATCAGGTTTACTGCTGTTCAGCCCAGACAGGTGTGCCTTTCAAGCTCTGGCTCCCTGCCAGCTGTGACAGTGATCTCACCAGGCCAAGTTCACTGTGGACTGGTCAAAGCTGTGACATCCCAGCAGAAGCACCTGACATCACACGTCAGTGGCCAGGTGGCTCCCTCACGTCCATCCAGCAAATGGCCACTGTCCGAGATCCTCACTCAAGCATCCCGCCCTGAGGGACCAGATTCCATCACGCAAGCTGGGGTCACCAAGACACAGCTCTTCCGGCTAGTGCCTCCTAGGTGCCCACTCTGAAGAGCAAGGCCACTTCATTACCTTTTGGAGTGAGGAACAGTGTGAGATCTAACCCCTACCTGCTCACAGACAAGTATACCATTGTCCACCTACGCTCTTCAGTTCTTTAAAAAAAAAAATTAGCTGAATGAGAACGAACAAGACAGAGGGAGGGAGGAGGGGTCCAGAGATCCAAAATTTGATGGTTTACTTTCCACGACATCAGGGGCTAGAGCTGGGCCAGGCCAGGCAAAAGCCAAGTTGGGCCTGACCACATGGGTTGCAGGTACCAAGTACATGGGCCATCCCTTACTTCCTCTCTGGAAGCAGGAAGGTGAACCCGGAGTAGAGCCAGGACTCAAATTCAGACACCCCAGTGGACCATCACCACTTGTATCCAGCACCTGCCCTGTGACTTACTTTTTGTTGGTTGTTCTGACAATGATGCAGCGTTCCTTCGGGTCCACACAGACTCTGTAGACATCCTTAGGGTAGGGGAGGTTCCGAATCCGCCACTGGAAACTCATCTTGGTGTCCTTGCGCAGGAAGATGGGCTGTAGAAGGCCAACCAAGTTCAGTCCAGGGCTGTTCTCGGGCAGGCCCCAGCTCATCTCCACAGCTCGCCCTGGGCTGCTGCTGTTCTGTCAGGCCAAGCCCAGAGCCCGCTCCCTGGGTTGGTCCAGTCAAAACCCTCTTGGGTTACTTCAAATATTTATAATGTCGTGTCTGAGTGGACACACTGGAGAGGAGGTGGGGAACAAAATGAGATCCCTGCCTCAGGGGGCCGGCAGCCCACCCACTCTTACCCCAAGGCCCCTGGACATACATTGGCATTGTTTTCCTTGATGAGTTCAGGCCCCAGGCTCCCTGCTCCTGAGGGTGCTGGCTCTCCCACTTCGAGCTGCCACGGACCCAAAGCCCCGAGGGCACTCTTCACCCGCCATTTTCTCACTGGAGAGAGAAGCAAGCGATGGCATTACAGGGAAGCGAGGTCTCTTCTGCTCCACCACCTTCACATCAAGTAAAAACAGCAGGATAGAAGTGGGAGCTTCAGACCTCGACACTATGCTTTGTCTAGGGAAACTACGGCTCTGAAATCTCAATAGGGCACTTCAGAATGAGACAAACTGCAAAGGTCCCTTCATGGGTGCTGGGATGTAGCTGAGGGAGCAGCCAAGGGGAATAAAACTCTAGATGTGGCAGAGACATTATGCGACCGCTGGAAAGGGTTGGTTCCTGATGATGGAGAATATCTGGGTCCCGGGCCTGGTGCCATAGCACAACAGTTAAGGTAATCACCTTGAATATGCCGGTGGGATCCCATATGGGTACCAGTTCTAATCCCGGCAACCTCACTTCCCATCCAGCTCCCTGCTTGTGGCCTGGGAAAGCAGTGGAAGATGGCTCAAAGCCTTGGGACCCTTCACCCGCATGGGAGACCTGGAGGAAGTTCCTGGCTCCTGGCTTTGGATTGGCACAGCTCCAGCTGTTGTGGTCACTTGGGGAGTAAACCATCAGATGGAAGATCTTTCTCTCTGTTTCTCCTCCTCTCTGTATATCTGACTTTCAAATAAAAAGAAATCTTTAAAAAAAAAAAGGTTTATACCAAAATTAACTTTTCCGGGTCCAGCACGGTAGTCTGGCAACTAAAGTCCTTACCTCACACCCTCTGGGATCCCACATGGGCACTGGTTCTAATCCCAGCAGCCCCACTTCTCAGCCAGCTCCCTGCTTGTGGCCTGGGAAAGCAGTTGAGGACGGTCCAAAACCTTGGGATCCTGCACCTGCATGGGACACCCGGAAGAGGCTCCTGGCTCCTGGTTGGTGCAGCTCTGGCCACTGCAGCCCCTTGGGGAGTGAGTCGATGGAAGATCTCCCTGTCTCTCCTTCTCTTTGTATATATGATTTCCCAATTAAAAAAAAATTAACTTCTCTCATTTCAATTTCCGTGAACCTTTTGAAACTATCACTTCTAATTTCAATGGCCATTTTAGTGTAAAATGGAATTTTATATTTGTAACTTCATAATGTAAACAACCCTTTCTATTTTCCTTTTCTTTTTAAGATGTATTTATTTTTATTGCAAGGTCAGATATACACAGAGAGAGGAAGAGAGACAGAGAGGAAGATCTTCCATCCGATGATTCATTCCCCAAGTGACCACAACGGCCGGAACTAAGGCGATCAGAAACCAGGAGCCAGGAACCTCTTCCAGGTCTCCCATGCGGGTGCAGGATCCCAAGGCTTTGGGCCGTCTGTGACTGCTTTCCAGGGCCACAAGCAGGAAGCTGGATGGGATGCGAGGTTGCCGGGATTAGAACTGGTACCCACCCATATGAGATCCTGGCACATTCAAGGCAAGGACCTTAGCTGTTAGGCCACTGCACCAGGCCCTATTTTCCCTTGTTTTACAATCCAGATGATTGTAAGATATTTTTCTATGTAAGGCCCTCCTAGAAATCTTACAAGAAACTGGCTCAACAGACATTACCTTGAAACCCCTCCAGAACTTTCCAGTTCAGCCTGGTGGCAGTGACTATGGTCATGCAGCCCTTAGTGCTGTGTGGCTGCAACCCTCATGGAGCCTCAGTCCCCTGCCTGCCTCCCACCTGGCACCCCTGGCACCCCTAAGCCAAGCAGTGCATTGCCGCCGTATACCAGTGGCCTCCCTGGCTGCCCTCAGGAGCCGCATCCCTCCATAGGTCCGAGTCCCACCGCTGCTCCCCCAAGGCCTGGGCTACGCAGGCAGGCAGTCTGCCTTTGGACACTGGAGCAGCCATGCTCATGCAACAGCCCCCCAGCCCCTGCTATATGGAAGGCACACAAGCTGAACAAAGATGTGCTGTAAAATCAGAATTTCCTCTGGAATGTGTGCTTCTCTAAGGTCTGCTGCATTCCGCAGTGTGATTTTATTACATCTTAGGGCCCAATATTCTCCCAAGAAACACATTTCCAAGTTCATAATGAAAATTAATAAGGAAGAGTAAAACCTGCAAATATGCATTCTCGGCAACTTCGCCCGCAAGCATGTCTCTAAGTGCGCGCTCTGCGACCAGCAGCACACCCACACCTACGCACGGTAATACTTCACTTAGCCAGAAGCCAGCCTTCTGGAGCGTCCCAGTCACAAACGCAGAGGCAGAATGTGCCCCCCAAGAAGCAGCTTATCATGACAAGATCCGTGTATCCTGACCCTACCCACATTATAGGAAAGACTACACCCGCATTTCCCTGCAAAGTGCACAAGGATTTCAAAACCTTTGTGGATGGAGGGGCATGAAGGCCAGCAGTGGGATGCTGGTTACAATGCCTGTATCCCATGTCACAGGGCCTGGCTCCGGCTCCCCGCCAAAACAGCTCCTTTAAGAGGCGGGTGAGGATCCCAGTGGTTTGGTTCCTGACACTCTAGTAGGAGACCTAGGCCTGAAGTCCTGGCTCCTGCCCAGTCCTCATGGGGGTAATCAGTGGGTGGAAGATTTATCTGCTTTCTTTCATATCCCTTAAAAATTTTTTTCTAGATTTATGGAAAAAATAAGATTAAAAGATAAGGTGATGGACCCGGCATGGTAGCCCAGTGGCTAAAGTCCTTGCCTTGTGTGAGTCAGGATACCATATGGGTGCCGGTTCATATCCCAGGTGCTCCACTTCCCGTCCAGCTCCCCACTTGTGGCCTGGGAAAGCAGTTGAGAATGGCTCAAAGCCTTGGGACCCTGCACCCACATGGGAGACCTAAAAGAATCTCCTGGTTTCAGATTGGCTGAGTGGGGAATAAATCCGTGGACGGAAGATCTTTGTCTCTTTCCTCTCTGTAAAACTACTGATTTTCCCCAAAAAAAAAAAAAAAAAGGTGATTTGGGTGCAAAAATTATGGATATCCATGCACACAAGAGGTCCTCAAAGAGTTCATGGATAATGCATATTTGGAAAATTGTACATTGGAAATTTTTTATACACCAAAATCAGCTTATCCTTCAATTCCATTTCCCATGAGCTGCTTGAAATATCTCCCAATATATATGGATCTAAACTAAAACAGGAAATTACTTTTTCCGCAAGCAGACTGACAACAGTATCAGGGAACAGCCTGGGTCAGAGGACAGTGTCAGAATGACGCAAGCACTTGGGAATGCTCAGTGTAGGAGCGAGCAAAGCCATCCGGCCCTGCGTCTTGCCGGCAGAGGATATGGCCACGAGCAGCCGGTGAGGAAGGCCGAAGTTCCTTTAGCACACACGTGTGTTTTGTAAATGAGCAGTAGCATTTCTTCCCTGCCTGTTTTTGCCACTAACACTCCAGGGGAGACACATGAAGGACTACTAAGGCTCCAAGAGAGAAAATGCCACTTGCCAAAGCCACAGTTAAGTTCACGACTCCCAAGTCCAAATCCAGAATCTGAATCACTTGGAAAAGGCTAAGCTATAGTTTGTGTTTTTAATATAACTACTGTCAACTAGGAATCAATTATTTTTTTATCCTTTCGTCTTCAAAGGCTAAGCTTTGGTTATCTAAGGAAGGAAATGATGAAGTTCCCCTAGCTAGGCTGGGTGAGTGAGGCATCCCTGTCATCCGGGCCTTGTTCGGTGGGACTTCCCAGGGCTGGAGTGGCAATGAAGAACCTAGATGTTTTCTGCCTTTTGTGATTCTGCCTTAATGGCTTGGCTGGGTGCTGTGTGAACTCCAGGTCTAATAGTCTACGTGACACCCAGCAGGACACCTGGCAGGTCACATAGGCAGAACACTCCTCAGGAAGGAGGTACCTGGTGTTAGATAAGATTTCACCACCCTACAGCTCCTCGATTTGTACTTTTTGAAAGTGGCTTGCTTCAAACCCACCAATAGAAGCCTGCTAAATCATGACTGTATAATTAATACCTTGTAATGTATAAGAACTGGGGGGCTTGGGCTCCCTCTCTCTCTCTCTCTCTCTCGCTCTCTCGCTCTCTCGCTCTTTCACTCTCACTCTCTCTGGTTTCTTTTTGTGTCCCTGCGGATCCTGCAGCAGCCTCTGCTGCGGCTGCCTCTGCCCCGCACCACCCTGCAGGGCTGGGGGAGGTGGCTGGGAGACCTAGGTTAACCTGAATAAACAACCTTTATGCCTCAGCACCGACTTCAGACTTGATGATTATCTGGGGATTTCAAAATCCGGCACAACAGCAATCAATACCAGTGAGTCCCCAAAACCAGGGCTCTTCCATTCCTTCTTCCACTTGAAGCAATGGCAGGTTTTCCCCAGAAACCTTCCCATTAAGTTCTCAAAGAAGAGAATCAGCTTATCGCTTCCTCATGCCTTTGACCTCCAAGGCCTGATCCCATGAACTTGGCCCCTTCAGCTGCTTCCCTTCCTCCTCCTCTTCTCACACCTGGGGATTCAACTCCGTTAGACAAGGAAGTTTCTCTTCCTGTTCCCTCAAGACCTGAGGACCAACGAGTGAGTGTGGCAAAGCAAGCCCTTCTCCCAAGCTCGGGGGCATGGATGCACATGTACAGAGGCACACTTGGTCTTGTCTTTCTCCTCTCTGGCTTTGTTCCTGAACTCAAGGACAGCTCCTGCGGCAAGGCAAGACTGTTTCCACCTGCTGTCACTCTGATTTGATTACATGTTAAACCCAAACTGGTGTGCATGAGGCAGCTGCCTGGGGTCCTATCCTTCCGGCTGAGCCGGGTGCTCCGGCAAAGGAGACTTCAAGGACCTTGAAAAGGTTCTGACAGGGAACTATATGGAGGCGGCAGCCCTGGGGGCTTTTTCCTATGTCAGCAGGAAGTAGGCCACTGTCCCTGACTGCTGCTGCTGCTACTGCTGTGCGGAGGCCGTCTTTCAGGTGGGCTGGAAAGGGGAGGTCCTGAAGGCCTCTTTCCCCAAAGCTCGAGCCCTGGCCCACTTCCAACGTGGATAATTACATTCCCCCTTCCTAAGTACTCCCCGCAGCTTCAGGGGGATGCAGGATTCTTCTAAACGCTGCGACATTGCGATGCGGCTATTAAACAGCTGCCGCGTCCCATCCCCGAGGAGGCCAAGGGAATCGAGTGGGTCATTTATAAAGCCGGTGAAGTGCTTGGGGATGAAAGTGCTCAATATCCTCCAAATGCAGCCTGGGGTGGGTAGGCTGGCGGTCAAATACCAAAGCAGATTAAGGCGGTAATCCAAATGTAATCGCTGGGGGACGGCCTGCCCTTCAGCCCCTGCCCCCCTGACCGCACTGTGTTCTGCTGCTTGGGCTGGTTTGATGTTCCGATCATTGTTAGGGGCCCTTCAGTTTTCTCCAAGCAGCAGTCACCATGGGGTGGGAATGAATAGCACTGAGAGGGTGGGACAAAAATATGACACTGACATGCTTATTAACACTGACTGAAGAACTTGGTCCCGAAGCAACCTATTGACTTATTCTGCCTCTGCAAATTACTTTAGTTACTCTAACAACAACAACAGTTTGGCCAGTGATCAAATCTGTACAATGGTCAATTGCATAATTCGGAAATGGAATCTGTTCCCACGCAATGCCACAGAAACTAGGTCCCCATTTTACTTTGTAAGATGCACATACCAGCTTAGGATATGTCAGAAACAACATTTTGCAAGGACACCTGCAAGAAGAGGGAGGGAAACCAAGTAAGAAACAGACCTGTTCCAGGGCTGCAGCCCTGTGATTCCAGAAGGGTATTCCTCTCTGCCCATGACTGCCCTTTTAAATCACGCTGGGGAATGCCATGTGCAGTAGGAAGAAAAGAAAGGTGGGTTTCAAAACTCTCAACTCCCAACATTATGTTGTCGATTAAAGACTGGGCTCCTAATCCCACAGAACTAGGCTTAAGTCCTGGCTCAGGAACTGACCAGCTCTATGACATGAACAAGGCACTTGATCTCTTTGAGCTGGTTTTTCAACTGTCAAGTGGGGCCAACAGTCCCTCCTCTTGGGGGCTCTAACGCAGATGATTCAAAGAGATAATTCAGGCCAGCCACTTCACACAGCACTTGGTAAGAGTCACGGTAGTAACATCATTATTAGGTAACTTAGACCAAACAGTGTCATTCTGCAGCTCTGCTTTTTAAGAAAAAGGAGCTTGGGGGAGTAATAGGGCACTGGGATGTGGAGTGGTACAGATGAAGGAATCTGGATTTGTTCATCTTAATTTCATGCCCAGCACAACAAAGAGGCCTGCGTGTTGTTTGTTCTTATAGTCACAGGGGCTATCACTGTTATTTGCTCTGCGTGGAGGAGAAAGAGTTGACAGCAGGGGCTGGGGCGTGGAGCTGCGGCTAAGGCTCTGGCCTGGTTATGGTGGCAGTTAGTCCACGTGACCTCTGCTTTTGTAAGTTCTCCCCTGTTAGGCATTCCAGGGTTAGCCACCCCCTGGGAGCACTATAAATTACAATGCATTGTGAGGATATTACTACTGTATTGGTTTCCACCGAATCAGTGTCATATGCTAAACACATCAGGATTTTTAATAGCACCAGACTAAACCAATTGGGACTGGAGCCCAAGCAGCTCATAATAGGGAGGGATCAACACTTCACTCTCCAACTGAACATGCGCGGGACATGCACTTTAAGACTGCAGACTAAGAGAATGCAAACCAGGATAATCCACGGAGTCGGTTTGAGACATTTATGAGCTGTCAGAAAAGGGGAAAAAGAAACTTCCCAGCCAATTCTACCTGTCGATCAGACCCAGGAAGAAATTAAAGTCAAGAATAATGACAAGAAACGAACCCAGCCCATGATTCTATCCTTGGTCTTAGCAGTTCAGGTGAAACTTAATAAAGAGCCCCAGTCCCACTGCTGACAGCTTGAGGCCTTGGGTCAGAGAGTCACGCACCCAGCTCTGGGAAGTCAGTTAACACTGATGTGTGTACCCAGGGACAAAGGATGGACAAATCAATAATTCCCAGAAATCTGAGCTGAAATTCCTACCCACATGCCTATGCTTAAAAGGAAAGCAGCTACAGGAATGAAAATGACACTGCTACGAAATCCCCGCCTCTCCGTCCCAATGCACACATCCTTCCAGAGGTGGGTCATGTCTAAGCGTCACCTTGGAGGTCAGGAGCTGCTACTCTGATCCTTGCTCCTGGTGAGGCTTCAAAAGAGAAAATACAAAACCAACAGGAAAGCCCGCGGAGGCCCGCCTGGCCCTGCTTGGCCCCAAGTGCCCACCCACCGTTCCTCGCCACACTCTACCCACAGGTGCTCCTAGGCATGGAGGAAGAGCTGGCGCTGAGGGCTACTGGGCCAAGGACTCCCACTCCGCCTCTGGGGTCCAGATAACTCGTCTCTAGGTCCTTGGTCTCCTTGAGCCCCCACCATTTGGCGCTGGACCCAAGGGCCGACAGAGGCCGCTACTTACCTAGGAGCTCACTCGTCATCTCATCATATTCCTCAGCCATTTCCTTTCCATCTGGGAACAAGTAGTGCACCTTCCTTCTCCCTGCGCAAAAAGCAGACCCAGTCTTACTCGAAGCCCAGAAGCCACCGGGGCTCAGCCGCAGCACGGGCTGTTGGGAGACCCCGACTAACCTTCCCAACACATTCCTCACCCTCTATCCTTTGAAAGACATGTGCAGGGACCCTGGGACGCACTGCCACTCTTTCCTTTTCCCCTTAAAGTTTTTTTTTTCTTTTATTTGAAAACTAGAAATACACACACATACACAGAGGGAGAGAAAACTTGAACCAGTGCCCATACAGGATGCAGATGCTGCAGGCAGTACCTTAACCCACTAGACCACAGCGCAGCCCCTCACTGCCTTCTGAAGCTGTGTCTAACTGTGTCCTTCAAGATTGCATCCTTCAGCAGCAAGGAATAAAACTTGTCTTACCCTTTAATACCCTGCTTAAGTGTCACCTCCTTTGAGAAGTCTTCCTTAACAATCAGCTCCAGGGGCTGGCATTGTGACACAGAGGCAATGTCGGCAAGACTCGTTCCACTTCCAATTCGACTCCCTTTCCCTGCTAATGCGCATGGGAAAGCAGCGGAAGACAGCCTAAGTGTTTGGGCACCTGCACCTACTTGGGACACCTGGACAAAGCTCCTGGCTCCTGGCTTCAGCCTGGCCCAGCTCTGATGTGGTAGCTGTTTGGGGAGTGAACCAGCAAACAGAGGATTGATCAATCTCTCAGTTGCTCACTTTCTTTCTGCTTTAATAAACAAATAGGGCCCAGCACGGTAGCCTAGTGGCTAAAGTCCTTGCCTTGCACCCTCTGGGATCCCATAAGGTTGCCAGTTCTAATCCCAGCGGCCCATCCAGCTCCCTGTTTGTGGCCTGAGAAAGCAGTTGAGGACGGCCCAAGGTCTTGGGTTCCTGCACCTGCGTGAGAGACCCAGAAGAGGCTCCAAGCTCCTGGTTTTGGACTGGCGCAGCACTGGCCGTTGTGGACGCTTGGGGAGTGAATCATCAGACAGAAGATCTTCCTCTCTGTCTCTCCTGCTCTCTGTGTATCTGACTTTCCGATAAAAATAAATAAATCTTAAAAAATAGAAAACCACCACCTCTAGCCAGCTTGGCAGAATTCATCATTCTCATTGGTACCTCCTAGTGCTTTATTCATATCCACAGAGAAGCATTTATCAGGATTATGATGCCTTCCAGTGTCTATCCCCGGACATGATACAGTATTTCTCTTTCTCCTTTCAGTTCCTGAAGCCAAGCCTATGTGCCCTAGGCTCCAGATCCAGTGCTCCTTGCGGCCTCAGCAGCCTCTGCCACCTCTGCATGTCCCCACACTGTTCCCATGACAGAGCCACACGGTGTGCTCCCTTCCTGGTACTTTGTGTTTTTTTGTTTTCTTTTTTGAAAGATTTATTTATTTATCTGAAGTCAGACTGAGAGACACTCTTTCATTTGCTCTGGGCTTGGCTCTGACCCCAGCCCTAACCACAGCGGCCATTTGGGGCATGACCAGTGGATGGGAGACCCCTCTCTTTCTCTTTGCAACTCTTTTAAATAAATTAAATAAATCCTTAAAAATTTTTAAAAGAGCTCCCAAGTATCTTTTTCTTCACCTAGATTACTCTTTGGGGATTGGGATGCAGTTCCTAGAAGCATTAGTAATTTGCATTCCAGGGAAACGGTCCTCAAGGCCGCAGGGTCCCTCAGCATTCCAGGGTTCCTGCGTGCTTTTCCACCAGGTGGCCCAGGGAGGAGCAAGGGCTCAGGGAGGGGACAGGAGCTGCCTACAAGCAGGTGACAGTGCACGGATGGACATTTCCCTCCTGCCATTGGGTCTAGTCCAGAGTCCAGACAGGATGCTGTGCTCACTGTCAACCAGGCAGTCTGTATGTTATATCAAATCTAATTTGTGCAATAATCTGACATGTCCTCAATAATCTATATCTTGCAAAAGAAACCTAAAGTTTAAAGGTCTTGCAACTTCTCTCCTTCGCTCTGTCTTTCCTCCTCTATCTGTAAATCTGCTTTTCAAATACATATAAATAATTCTTGGGCCTGCTGTGATGACTCAATTGGTTAATCCTCTGCCTATAAGTGCAGGGATCTCATGGGTGCCAGTTCATGTCCCAGCTGCTCCACTTCCCATCCAGCTTCCTGTTTATGTTCTGGGAAAGCAGCAGAATATGGTTCAAGGCCTGAGGGCCCTGCACTTGTGTGGGAGACCTGGAGGAGACTCCTAGTTTCAAACTAGCTGAGCTCCGACCATTTGTGGGCATTTGTGGAGTGAACCAGCAGAAAGATGATCTTTCTATCTCTCTCTTTATAAGCCTGTCTTTACAATAAAAATAAATAATTTTTTAAATGGCCCTAAAGGGCCTTCAGTTTAAAAATAATTTTAAAAAATATTTTAAAAAGTCGGGGGAGCTGGTGCCGTACGTCTTAGATTAAGCCTCCACTTGCAAACCCGCAAGCCTCCACATTTGTGCCGGTAAGATTCCCAGCTGCTTCACTTCCAATTCAACTCCCTACTAATGCACCTGGGAAAGCAGCAAAAGACGCTGCACCCACGTGGAAACCTGGAAGATGCTCCAGACTGCTGGCTCCAGACTGGCCCTGCTCCAGCCACTGCGGCCACTCGGGGCTGAGCCATGGACGGAAGAGCTCTCTCTGCGTTCTGGCACTCTATCTCTGTAAATCTTTAAAAAAAAAAAAAAAAAAAAAAAAAAAAAAAGCCATGCCACTTCTCCAAGGTCATGCAGTTAGGACATAACCCACCACCAGTGCATAGTGCTGGGTGTGGGACTGCCCGGCGGTGGGCGGTGGGTTCCGGTGCTCCGGGCGGCCGCGCCCCTTTGGATGGCCACAGTCACACCTCAGTATTCACGGCGAGGAGTCTGACCCCACATTTCTGCTTGGCACTACCCTAGCTACAGCTCTCCACCAGGCACTCCTCCAGACATGCCTGAGATCTACCTGGAGGTGTCAGTGCTCCATGGCTCCGCTGGGCTCTGTCTGGCAGCCTGCGCCCAGGTCTTCACAGGTGTCGCCTGTTAGCGGCGCCCTCTACCGACCGGGGTCTCCACTGCGGCTGCACTTGGCAGATTGTCCGCTCAGGGGCTCCAACCCTGCAGCACTGCTCGCACTGGCTTTTCAGGTTTTCCTTTGAACCTCGGTAACAGCTGCCACAACCCCTCCCCTTGCTCCCCTTGCAGAGCCAGCGCGATGTGGACAACGCCAAAGTCTACAGCCAGCACAGGCCACACCTGAACCCATCTCAAACAACTGAGACCTAGGGTGCTCTGTCAGCTGAACACAGGGAGGCAAACCCAAGGCAGAGGCGAGCGGGCACTGAGCACTCCGGGTTTCGCAGAGCACCTCGGCCCTTCCAGACCTCTGCACCTGTAGTAGCAGGGACAGACTGGACGACATCTGAAATGCTCTCCCGGTCTTTCTCCTACCATCTCAGCCAGCAGCACATGGGCTGCTGACTTCATCCCCGAAGGGACCTACAACCTAGAACAACTGATGATAAGGTTCCCAAGCTGCCCCGCTGTTCCCATCATGCACCCAGTACCATGACACTTCCTAAAGAGGTCAGAAAAAGGACAGTCACTAAATTCCTGGACATCTTGACCCTTTCCTGGAAAACTGGGCTCAAAGCAACGCGGCCTGGGTCTAGGCTGCATGCAGGGATGGCGCTGAACCTGGCAAGGCACAGCTCACCTTCTGAGTGGGCCTGTGCTGCTCCTGGAATCCACGTTCACTTGGCTATCAATCTTCCTCTCCTAACTTATCTACATCTCATCCCGAAATTCTTTCTTGTACAGGTAATGGCGACAGTGCCTCAGTTTTAGCTCTTTGTCACTACAACAAATCCCTTGGGAAGGAAGGATAGGTTTACTTTGGCCCACAGGTTCAGAAGTCCACGTGCAACATTAGAAAGCACCCCACCCTCAGCTCCACCACCAATGAGGCTGGGAAGCCACTGGGGAAGGAAAGACGGCAGGGCCAACCAGGAAGCTGACAGCAGCTAAGCCCAGCTCAGTTTCCCCAAGGAGCCCTCCAACCCCATGGAACTGCCAAACACCAAAGTGGATTAAGTTTCCACTTACATTAATTTATAATGTTGGGAATTAAACACATACTTGAGCTTGGAAGCCCGATGCGACTCAAACCACAGCAGTGTTTTTTTGTTTTGTTTTGTTTTAAATTTTTTTTTTAAATTGGAAAGGCAGATATACAGAGAGGAGAGACAGAGAGGAAGATCTTCCGTCCGATGATTCACTCCCCAAGTGAGTGCAACGGTCAATGCTATGCCGATCCGAAGTCAGGAGCCTCTTCCGGGTCTCCCACGCGGGTGCAGGGTCCCAAGGCTTTGGGCCGTCCTCAACTGCTTTCCCAGGTCACAGGCAGGGAGCTGGATGGGAAGCGGGGCTGCCGGGATAGAACTGGCGCCCGATGGGATCCCGGGCGTGCAAGGCGAGGACCTTAACCACCGTACCACCGCGCCGGGCCCCACAGCAGTGTTTTAAAAGACTTACTTGAGGGCCCGGTGGAGTGGCCTAGTGGCTAAAGTCCTCCAGCTCCCTGCTTGTGGCCTGGGAAAGCAGTCGAAGACGGCCCAAAGCCTTGACCCTGCACCTGTATGGGAGACCCGGAAGAAGTTCCTGGCTCCTGGCTTCGGATCCGCATAGCATTGGCCGTTGCACTCACTCGGGGAGTGAATCATCGGACGGAAGATCTTCCTCTCTGTCTCTCCTCCTCTCTGTATATCTGACTTTCCAATAAATAAATAAATCTTTGGAAAAAAAAAAAAAGACTTACTTGAACTACAGAGTGACAGAGAGAAGTTTAGAAGACACAGAGATTTCCCACCCTCTGGTTCACTCCCCAGGTGTCAGCAACAGTCAGGAATGCAGCCAGAAACCAGGAAATCCAATTTGGTCTCCCACCTGGATGGAAGGAGCCCAGTCACTTGTGCCTTCACAGGCATGTACCAAGAGGCTGTAATGCAATCCCATGCTCCAATATGAGAAGTTGGTGTCATTATCAGCAGCTTAACCTACTACACCACAACGCCAGGCCCTCCACACAGATGCTTATATAGCTGATGTATGTTCGACTGAATATTGTTTTCAGTAAATTATTTGTTTATGCTTTAGTCCATTTTAACTGGTTATTTATATCTGTCTTACCAATCTAGGCTTAACAACGGATCAACAGCTGTTACAAATATTTTCAGTTTCAATTGTCTTAACTTTGATTAAAGTTGCTTTCTTCCCCCACTCAACAACCTGTTTACTTTTCATATAGTCTACAATGTACTTCCTCAGGGATACTGCCTAGAAGAAACACAACATCTTCCCATATTGGATAATTATATATTATTTATATTTTATTCTAATATTATTTTCTAGCAATGTATGTGCATGTGGCTATAGAAATTTCAACTATATTAATATCTTGCCAAAAGTATCACATGTGTCTATGTATGAAAAATAGATGCTCATACATAAAACAAATTGTGACTACATAAGTAATCATACTAGGATTGTGCATGTCTTAAAATTTTTCCTATTTGCACAGTGAACATAATTATTTTCTAAAAATCAAAAGTTTCCTGAATTTCTGTTACCAACAGTCATGATGACATCACAAACTCAAACAGAAATCCACTCTCTCGAGTCCAGCACAGTAGCCTAGTGGCTAGAGTCACTGCCTTGCATGCGCTGGGATCCCATATGGGTGCCAGTTTGTATCCCAGCTGCTCTATTTCCCTTCCAGCTCCCTGCTTGTGGCCTGGGAAAGTAGTCGAGGACTGCTTTGGGACGCTGCACCCGCATGTGGGAAACCTGGAAGAAGCTCCTGGCTCCTGACTCCTGGCTTCAGATCGGCTCAGCTCTGGCCATTGTGGCTACTTGGGGAGTGAACCAGCAGATGGGGATCCTCCTCTCTGTATATCTGATATTCCAATAAAAATAAATAAATCTTAAAAAAAAAAAAAAAGCAAAATTGTCTTTATAAAAAAAAAATTCCCTCTCTCTCTCTGCCTTTCCCCACCAACAGGGTAAAATCTATGAGAGGTCTGACCAGGCATGCCATACTGCCAATACTGTGTTGCCTTTTTAAAATTATTTATAGAAAACCCAAACTGCCATCACCATCCTGCAATGCAACTACTAACAAAAAATTTTAACAAAATCTCCCGCCTGATGAGATACCGGCCTCAATACTGCCCTGTGACCAGTGGGAGAGCAGCAACTCCAGCTGGTATTGTGTCCTTATGCGCACAGCAACATTACTGACAAAAGCCAAAGCAAACAAAACAGAAAATGTAGGGGAGCCCAACCACTATCCACAAACAGATGCACAAAATGTGCTCCACACACACTCTGGGAGATGCCTCAGTCTTAAACAGGAGGGAAATTCTGACACATGCTCTAACACAGACAAGCCCTGCACATACTTGGTCAAATCCAAGAAATACAGCTACTCCAACCCAAGTGTGGAGAGGGCAGAGGCGGGGAGGGGCCAGGGCCTGAGCACACCCTGCAGCGGGTTGCCAGGCAACACAGTCTTTCCACAACCGTCAGCCCTGACCACGCCCACGCCCACTGTCGCTGAAGAAGGAGTAGGCTTTGCATTTTAGGGCCACAGTTGCTGGAAGAGAGACTTACCACTCCACTATCTGGCTCTCCCAGCACATGGATCAAACTGTGTGGCAATGAGCGTGAAAACGTAACGCACCTCCTTACACAACAATCAGGTCTGTGAACTACACTACCACAGGGTATCTAATTTTCAAAGGTATTGATAATCACACACACACCCGTGCTGTTGAAACCGGATTCGATCCTTGTACTCAGCCCACTAAAACAAAGTTACATTACATATAACATACATTTATATATAGATTGCATATATGTACACACACATATAAAACCAGATGCAGGCTTGTGGAACCGCCAACTCAGGCAACTGATGGGCTCTTTCTGGGTTGAAATGCTTAGTCTGACTCGCTTAATAAATTCAAACTTTGCTTTCCACCAGACTGTTTCAGTCAGCACGACTTTCCTGAGTCACTGAAATGATCAAAGTCAGAGAGACAGAGAACAGAATGGTGGCTGGAGGGAGGGGGGCGGAGAACATTCCAGAACCGGAAGGTGGTGATGCTGTACAGGGACCTGAAGGCACACCAATCCTTCAGACTGCCACAGCAGGAAACTTGTAAATATCTTCTTACCAATAATTCTCAAACCACAAGCCGCTGCTAGGCAGACCACATCCAAATCCTTCAGCAGCAGGGAGAGCTGTCACAATATGGGCCCCCCACATTCCCTCACTGTCCCTGGAGAAAAGGGACCCTTTAGCCCACCTGGCACCACGTAGCTGGGGAGGGCTGCCAAGGCACCGGATATGGCCAGCCGTGCTGGCCCTTACCTGTCTGCCCCATCTCTCTTCCCCTCTTGGTGGCAAATGCCTATTAACTCCTTAGCACCCGGGCACATCACGTTTCCACCTTCCTGCTCTCCTGGTGTTCCACGGGAAGATGCCAGCCTCTGATGCACACACCCTAGCACGGACTCTGCCCGGCTTGTTCGGGGCCCGTCTGTGAATTCCTTCTGCCTTCCGTCTGCTTTAGTACAAGGCTAGGGGCACAGTAAAACCTTCCCGAACGCTCCAACGAGGAGTAAGCAAATAAGTATCCGAGGTGAATCCTCGCCACCTCCAGGCTCCCCTAAAGGGCCCCAGCTGCTATCCTGAAAGTCTCAGGAATTCACATCTAATTCCCCCTGGTTATCCACTGGGTGCAGGAAGGGGCCCAGGGAACCCTTCCAGACACAGCCCCGAATCTGACCCCTGCGCCTCTGGGTACCCAGGAGCCACGTAGGGGGTGTCACCGTGTCCCCGTTATCAGACACAGCTGATAACCATGTCAGCGCGTGAGGGGGCGGCGCACCCACTCCGTCTCACAGGTGAGCCACGCGAGGTTTAAACAAGGCAAGCGGCAGCGCCAACCCTACAGCCCCGGCAGTCCGCTTCCCCAAGACACCCGGCCGCCCGAAGCATTACACCCCCAGACTGGTTGGAGGAATTGGGGTCGCTCTAAAGCCTCCCACGTTCGTTTCCTCTCTATAAAACCGGGTGGAAAAGGCAGGCCCCCGGCGGACGGCCGCGACCCTTCCAGCTCTGCGCTCCCTCCCTGGACCTCGGGGCCCCGCACTCTGCGGGAAAGGGCGCGAGCATTCGCGGGGGGCCTTCGACTTACCGTCCTGCAGCAGCGCCGTCTTCTCCGCAGCCCGCACACTCTCCAACCAGCCGGTCACCGCCATCTTACCTCAGTCCAGCAGCGCGCCCAGGCGCAGCTATGGCAACCAGTCCTCGGAGAGTCACTTCCGGGTGATCCGGAAGGTGTTCTCAGATACTTTTTCCTTCCCTCCTTCCCCTGCCGTCCGTGCTCATTGGCGCCTGGTAAGTAGTTTACACCTGGCGATCCTTGGGACCAAACCTGGGGGGAGGGGGCGATGTGTGGGACTCAGTGCCGGGTGCGGACACTCCAGCTCTCCTCTGGCTCGCAGCTGGAAATCCCTGCCTTGCGCCAGCTGCGTGTGCCCCACACCTGCCTGCCTTCACTGCCAGCTGGGAAGCCGAGACTCCCCGGCCATCCCACAGGGCGCCCCCCACCCGTGCACACACCTGCTGCGGTCGTGATGCATCCCGCCGCAGCTGCGAGACTCAGCACCCTCCACGCCGCGGCAGGTGCAAGGGTTTACCACGCCCCCTGCCTCACCCGCCTCGGAATTTTCATCATCGAGTTGGGACTGGAGAAAAATTATGTGGGCCTACGTGCAGACGTCCCCTCTTCTACACTCCTCTCGGGGAGGCTAAGGCCTTCCTAAAGACGTAGCTCTGTTTCCTAGCCTGGTGTGTTTGGGGATGCACTGGAGCTTCCGTGTCCCTTCCCACACTTTCCCCCCTGCCCTACCCCCATTTCTCAACTCGGAAAAGCTGTTGAGTGTACAGCCAGGCTTAAGTTGCTGCCATTTGATTGCATCATGGGAGATTCTTGGGAACAGAGTGGCTGTCTCCAAGCTTTGGCCAGTAGAAATCGGCTTTCCGTGGGCTAGGAGGATAGAGCCTCAGTTCTGGATTTGCATGTGACAGCTGCCTGGCCCAACCTCAGACAGAAAGGCCACACTCAAGCTATGCTTCATGGACTCCGGGGGCATCTTGAAGGCATTTCCCAAGCGGAAGAAAATTCATTCCAATTCATCATCAAAAGCCTTGGTGAAGATTCCCAAAAGAGAAGAAGGCACAGCAGCAGCAGGAGGTGAGCAGACCCTAGGAACTCTGCCTTCTGCCTCTAGTCAGCCTTCATCAGGGGATCTGGAAACAGGGTAGAATGATTCTCCCTGCCCAGGGGCTGCAACTCTGTTTGTACCCACCTGGCGTAAAGCTTGGCTCTGTTGGACAGGCCAACTTGCTGCCTTCACATCTTCCCTAGCCCGAGACCTGTATCAGAAATGGCCACTAAAACCCGTTGCTTTCTGTGGGCAGCCCTAGGCGGGGCAGGACAGAATTTCCAGTTCCTTCCCCAAGCTTGCAGTAGCTGGCAGAATCTTTGAGAAAGATTTAAGGAGGACATGATTAGAACAGCCAGGGACAAGAGGCAAGCAGTATGGGCTTTTGTTGAAACAAAAGATGGTGAAATCGTGAGGGAGAGGAGGCATGTATTCTCTAATTCGTTCAGCAGATATGCATGGGTTGTGCAGTGTGCCAGGCACTCTTTGAGCTTGTAAGACAACAGCCTTGCCCTTGGTCCGGTGTTGTGCAGTGCACTGAGCCACCACTCGTATTGCTGGCATCTCATGGGCGCCAGTTTGAGTCCTGGCTGTTCCACTTCTGACCCAGATCTCTGCTGTGTGCCTGGGAAAGCAGTGGAAGATGACCCAAGTCTTTGGGGGGGGTTCTGCCACCACCTGGGAGATGCAGGTGGAGTTCTGAACCCCTTGCTCCAATCTGGTCCAGCCCTGGCCATTACGGTCATTTAGGGAGTGAACTGGAGCTGATGGAGCCTCTTTCTTGCTCTTTCTCTTTCTAACTCTACTTAAAAAAAAATCCCTACCTTTTGCATTTATGTGCTGAGAAGCAATTTGTAGGGTGCTGTGGTTAGGTCCCTGGGACTTAACTTTTGATTGTTCTGGGAGGGGGAGATGAAATGGCTGGTTCAGACCCTTTCTGAAGGGGATGACAGCTGGCATCCGGGTGTCCTCTCCACAGAGTGGCTCCATCCCCTGCGGGTCCATGTTGTGCCCACCGGCATTGGACGAGCCCGCGCAGAGCTCTTTGAGAAGCAGATTGTTCAGCATGGTGGACAGGTGTGTCCTGCTCAGGCCCCGGGCATCACGCACATCGTGGTGGATGAGGACATGGACTACGAGCGGGCCCTCCGCCTCCTGAGGCTGCCCCGACTGCCCACGGGAGCTCAGCTGGTGAGGTCAGCCTGGCTGAGCTCTTGCCTACAGGAAAGGAGGCTGGTGGACACGGCTGGATTCTGTGTCTTCATCCCTAGCAGGTGTGCTGGCTACAGGCTCTCTCTCATGTTGCCTGGCAAACATCTACAGCTCTCTTGAGTCACTCACAACTATTATTTTCTTAAGTAGATATGTTTGGAAACTAAGGGCTCAGTGTGGAGAGAACTACGGGGAAAGGAAAGACGAAACCTTTGGTGTCTTATCCTGCCCTGCTGCATCTCTGCAGATACCTGGACCAAGCACCAGCCAGCAAGGCAGATCAAGACTCATCGACTCCCCCTAGCACCCACAGGGCTCTGCCTGAGACAGTGCTCTCTCCTCCCCCTCCTCCCACCAGACCCGTATCTCCGCCCCAAAAAGCAGAGAAAGCACCAAGCACTCAAGCCACCCAGGTCAGCTCCTACAGCTTCTTTTTCCCGGGAACCAGATCACAGAATAAAGGGGGGGGGATTACCAGTAGGGGGGTTGGCACTGTGGCAGGTGAATCCTCACTTGTGATGCCAGCATCCCATGACAGTGCCAGTTTGAGGCTCAGCTGCTCTGCTTCCAGTCTGGCTTCTTGCTCCTGTCCCTGTGAAGGCAGCAGCAGCAGATGGCCCAAGTACTCAGGTTCTGCCTCAGGTGCAAGACCAGGATGGAGTTCCTGGCTACTGGCCTTGGCTTTGGCCTGGCCCAACCCTGTGCTCTCTTTGATTGGGAAGTCATTTTGTTCATCCCAGCACTCGTCAACCTTACATTCACCCAGGCTCTATCTGTCGCATGCCGTGGGGGCCCTGGGGCTAGGCACTCAGGGAAGCTGCAAGGTACATGCCCCACACTGACAATCTGATCACCAAGACCCAGCCTCACTTTTGCATCTGGTATAGAGGCCCTGCCCGCCCTCTCCCTCACACAATGACAACCTCTACCTTCAAGATGGAGCCCCTGATGGAGGGCAAGAATTTAAAACTTTTCTCCTTCTCTACCTCAAGCCTGTCTCTGATGACGAAGCCAGTGATGGGGAGGAGCCCCAGGTTAGCGAAGCTGATCTGGAAGCCCTGATCACCGGCCACTACCCCAGCCACCCGGAGGGAGATGCGGAGCCTGGCCCAGCCCCAGAGGCCCTGGGGAAGTGGGTCTGTGCCCAGCCCTCCAGCCAGAAGGCAACCAACCACAACTCCCATGTCACAGAGAAACTGCAAGTGTTGGCCAAAGCCTATAGTGTCCAAGGGGACAAATGGCGGGCTCTGGGCTATGCCAAAGCCATCAACGCCCTCAAGAGCTTCCACAAGCCTGTCACCTCCTATCAGGTACCTGGGAGCCAAGGTGGCAGGGGTTGGGGGTGGGGGCTCCAGGGGCCCTAGTCACCTGTGGGGATCAACTGTAGTGGTCAGGATTTTGCAAGGTGTGGGATTTGCACACATAAGACAAAACAGAAGATTGATAAAAAGAACATGGCAATGTCTTCATCATTTTTGGTGACAGTAATAGGTACGGGGTAGGGGAGGGGCCTTGGTACTATCCTGTTCTCTTTACATTTGAATTTGTTACCTAATAAAATGGTTTTGTTTTGGTTTTGAAGTTTGGAGTCCAACAGACCAGAGTTTGGATGCTGATTGCCATCATTCATTAACTGTCCTTTAAGCCATGTTTCTTAAACTCTGAGCAGCCATTCATGATCCACAGAAAGGACGTAATAATAGTAACCCATTCATGGCCTTCTTATAAGGGCAGACTGAGGAGATCCCTAGAGCCCACGTGCCCAGAGCCCAAGCCCGCAAGGCTGGTCCATTCTGACAATCAGGGGTCATCAGTGCTCCAGCTCCCTCTGGGAACCCAGAGACAAAGTTACTTGGCCCCATTCCTTCAACTGTTCATGCTTGGCTGGGCCATGCCTCCATGCAGTCATACAGTTGCCCACCGTCCAGGCTGGCTTTGCCACAGACACGAGTCAATGGCATGAGTCAGCTTTCCCCATGCTGGCTCCATCCATCCCTACCTCCCCTCTGCCTCTCGCTCCTCCAGGAAGCCTGCAGTATCCCTGGGATCGGGAAGCGGATGGCTGAAAAGGTCGTAGAGATCCTGGAGAGTGGCCACCTGCGGAAGCTGGATCACATCAGTGAGAGCGTGCCCATCCTGGAGCTCTTCTCCAACATCTGGGGGGCCGGAAGCAAGACTGCCCAGATGTGGTACCAACAGGTCACACTCCAGCCAGCACCCCATCCCCTGGCTTCCTTACCCTGTGCTCAGAGGGCAATAAACCCAGACTAGAGAGAGAGACACTTCTCCTGGGCTCCCAAGGTGGTTCCCCAGACCACAAGAGCCTTTCCAAAGAGACCAGGCCTCGGGGCTGCATTGCATAACAGTAGTTCCCAAAGCTGGCCATGCCCACAATCACCCAGAGAGTGTGGTATATGCTGGCCCCATCAAGAGCCAGTTTTGAGGATTATGTTAGGCCTGGATAGGGTCATGTTTCCTCTAGCCCCAACCTCACCCAAGTCCCACTGGGTGGTCCTGCTTTCACCATCCATGGGGCATGGGGCGATTGAAGCCTCTCCATCTACCCTGGATCCTCACAGTTCCCTCCCCTCCCCTCCATCTGGTGGTTGTTTCCAGGGTTTCCGGAGCCTGGAAGATATCCGCAGCCAGGCTTCCCTGACTGCCCAGCAGGCCATTGGCCTGAAGCATTACGACGACTTCTTAGAACGCATGCCCAGGGAAGAGGCCGCAGAGATCGAGCAGACGGTAAGCAGGTGTCATGGAGCAGGGAGGAAGGGCAGGCCCTGCTACAATGTTTTGACTCCAGATCCCATTGCTGGAAACTGGGCAAAGAGCTGGCTGAGAGCGAGGCTGTGGGGCCAGGAGAAAGGGCAGGTGCCCGTGAGGAAGAGCTCCAGGGCAGCCCCCGGCCCAGCATTCCAGGCAGAGGGCCGGGTCGGGACTGGAGTAGGAGTAGATGTTTGGATGGGATGAGGCCCAGGTCCCTGCCATGTGAATTCCCAGCGGATCCTGGAGTTAGGGCAGGGCGGGGTTGTAGTGTTCCAGGGAAGGGTTCTTATAGGTTATTTCCTTCACAGACTTCTTTGGGAATCTTGTGGAAACCATGGGCTCTTTCACCTCAGGGGCACCAAGGTGGAGCATTTTGTTTCAGAACACGTGGATCTTCCCAAGCCCACTGAGGACAGTTCAGGGTGTAGGTCAGAGTTACTAATGGAACACAGTGCCAGTTGGACCAGCCTTGGGGTGAGAAGGAAGCTGGATACAGATTGAGTTAAGGCCAGGCCTCAGCGGGGTGTTCCCTGTGTTGGTTGCTTTTGAGTCAAGATTTGTGGTTGTCTAAGAGGTACTACCAAGTAAAGATTCAGGGTTAGATTTAATGTTGGGTTAGATGGAATTTATCTAAAACCTAGATTCAGGCACATTAGAATCCACTTGGGGCCAGATGTGTCATTTATCCGACTGCCTTTGGGGTTAGGGATGCTCACGGTAGACAGGCCTTGCCCTGTAGTCGAAGGTGCTTATGGGGTGGGAGACTCGGTCCAGCTAAGCTGAAGTCAGCTGCCACCTCCGCTCTAGGCCCTTTGTCTCCCTGTCACTGGGCTGGGGGCCTCATGGTGACACCGTCACTCAGCCACGGTGTTCGGGCACAGAGAATGCCCCAGCCAGCCACCTGGCCTCCCATGCTCCTCACTCAGGCTTCCAGCTGCAGGAGTTTGATGGGATTACGCATCTGGGCCTCCTCCTCCTATTCTCTTGCTCCAGGAGGCCGCCAGGGCATTAAATGCTCTGTCAGGAGAACTGAGGTGTCCTGGCTGCCAGTGTCCAAGGCCTGCGAAGGCCATCTGCATTTGAAAGGCCCCCGTATCTCTGGGCTGATGCTAATGGGTTTATTTCTGCTGGGGAGGAAGATCCTTCAACTGACAGCTGCCTCCCCTCCAATGGAGAATGCGGGCACTGGCTCGCTCTCTCTCCCCACACCCACAGGTGCAGTCATATTTCTAGGCTCCATTTTTGCCCAGACTTGGGCCCCGGGCACACTGCCGGCCACCAGCTCAAGCCATAAACCCCAACTCACACACTGTCTAGCTCCAGCTCCCCAGTATCTGGGGCCGCTGAAGCCTGTGTCCTGGGAGCACGGGTATGGAGTGGGGCAGGGTGAAAGGAGCGGAGTTCCCAGAGACTTAGCCTATGTCTTCTCTTGGGCTGCCTGGAGCTTTCTCCCTCTTCTGTCCCTGTGCCTGGAGTCCAATGTCGGCCTCATGGGAAAGGGATGCCCTCCAGGGACTAAGTCCCTCACTCCTACTGCCCTTGCCCAGGTCCGGGAAGCTGCACAAGCCTTCAACCCCGGGCTGCTGTGTGTGGCATGCGGCTCGTACCGGCGAGGCAAGGCCACCTGTGGGGACGTAGACGTTCTCATCACTCACCCCGACGGTCGGGCCCACCAGGGCATCTTTAGTCGCCTCCTTGACAGCCTTCGGCAGCAAGGTAGAGTCTGGCTTGGGGGAGCACAGCCCAGGGGCAGGGAGGACTTCCGAGGCACAATCTTGGGGCAGGAAGCAGGTACCTGGCCGGGGTCATTGCCAGGAGATGGGAAGTGGCCCCACGTCCTTCCCATAAAGCTGGAGGAGCTAGGACAAGGGCAGGGTCACCCGGCATGGAAATGGATAAGCCAGGACCCGAGCCCAGATCCGCTCAGGCTGGCTCCTGCCTTCCTAGCAGCCCACTGTATTGGCCAGGGTTCCTCACAGATGACCTGGTGAGCCAAGAAGAAAATGGACTGCAACAGAAGTACCTGGGTGTGTGTCGGCTCCCGGGCCCTGGGCGGCGGCACCGAAGGCTGGACATCATCGTGGTACCCTACAGTGAGTTTGCCTGTGCCCTGCTCTACTTCACCGGCTCTGCCCACTTCAACCGGTCCATGCGAGCCTTGGCCAAAACCAAGGGCATGAGCTTGTCAGAGCATGCCCTCAGCACAGCTGTGGTCCGGAACAGCCAAGGTGTCAAGGTGGCACCTGGCCAGATGCTTCCCACTCCCACAGAGAAGGATGTCTTCAGACTCTTAGGGCTGCCTTACCGAGAACCAGCTGAGCGGGACTGGTGACTCCCTGGTGCCCACCCCGGCAGGGCTCGCCTCAGCTGGCCATTTGAGTTCCCAGCTGTTCTCTGCAGCCCTGAGCTTGGGGCTTCCAGGACCTACCCAGCCCTCTCCTGGTAGGGTTGGCACAGTCCTTGCCCCATTTGAAACAGCAGCAGGTGGCTGATTTGAAGCCAGCTTTCTGTGCTGACAGTCCCGGCATCACCCTATCCTCAGTGGTCCCAGTTGCTGAGGACAGGAGGGGAGCAGCTGGGGCCCCAGCATCGTGCAGGACCCTCTGGAGCTCAGAGTGAGCCATTCCTTCCACTCTCCCCTACTTCCTGTGCAGCTGGAGCTGCTGGGAAGGGGGCACCCTTGGCTTGATGAGGACAGCATTGGGAGGTCCAGGGACCCAGTAAAGTGCATTGGATGTTGAACCTGCCTGGTGTCTGTCAATTGCTACATACCCTGCCTAGCCAGGGATGGGACCAGGAACTGAATGCAGACAGCCCAGAGAAGCTGCAGTCACCCTCCCCATCGCCAACCCCACCAGCGTGCCCGGGGCCGCTTCTGAACTCCAAGGGGACAGGGAAGGGGTGGGTGGTGAAAGGGAGAAATACGGGGGTGGACATTTGGGCCTGGTGGCTAAGACAAAGGTCAAAAGATGCCTGTGTCCCGGTCCGAGTGCCTGGCCATGTCTTTTCCGCTAGCGCAGATGCTTGGGGAACAGGTGATGGCTCCTGTGCTGGGGTTCCCACCACCCCTCTGGAGAGCCCTGCAGAACTGCTGGCTAGTACAGCCCGCGCTGTTAACAGGCTTTTGGGAAGTGAACAAATAACGTGCTCTGTCTCTCAAAGAAAAACAAAAGGAAAGTTGGAGGGTTGGGGGAGGATCTGACCCTCATCATCACCTGTGGGCCCCTTCCTCGACCAAGCTACCGAGGTACCTGAGCCAGATTGGCAGTACTCATAGGAAATAATTAACAATAACTGAACCACAACCTGTTCACTTCTGAGGCAACCAGGAAGCCTACCTGGAGAAGGGGCAGGTGGAGGGTTGCAGGTGGAGCTGTGGGACTTTGCCCGATGGAGCAGCGAGGGCCAAGTCCAGCTCGCTGCTAGGCTCGGGATGGCTTCCTGATGCCACGCCCTGCAGTATAGGGAGAACAGGGAGGCTCCTGAGGGAGGGAGGATAGTGCTGGGGGTCTGGACCCACCTCCTCACATCCCTCCCAATGCACCAGCACCCCCGTTCCAGGAGACACAGACTTCAGGGGCTGCCCTCAAACCACACCGACCCCTGGCCCATCTGCCTGGGCAACCAGAATCGGGGTATCAGGGAGGGACTGTCCTGCAGGGACGTGTCCTCCTGGGTAGCAACTGATGTAAAGTGAGCTCTTGCCAGCCGACAGCCTGGTCCAGCCTGAGTTCAAGTAAGAAGGGCAGAAGTGCATTGTTGCTGGGCTTGAACGTGGGGTTAAGGAGCCGCCAGCCCAGGACTGCGGGCAGCCTCTGGAAGCTGGACAGTGAAACCGAGGTAATGACTGTGTCTGGCACCAGAGGAACAGAACAGCAGGGGTGAGGCCGGAAGTGCTAGGGGGGAGGGAAGGAGAAGGGGGATGGCTTGTTGGGGGGAAACAAGCCCTTGGCCCAGCCCCGCTCATCACCATTTGCGCCTCTCTTCTCTTTTGCTCTGTCCCCTCCACCCTGCCAGACTGGGAGCAAGCCAGGCCCCACAAGTACATTGCTCCTGGAGGTGGGCCCAGAGCTAGAGGGACCAGCCTGTGTTGCCCCCACCTATAGGTCCAGCAGTTGCGAATAGAAGACCTATTTTCTAGGATTCTCCCCACACCCTCAGAGATCAACTTGCCTGGAAGCTGCCCGTGGGCACCCTGTTGTCCAGAGGGCAGCCACTTCAGGCCAACAGCTCTAGCCATTCGTGTACTCAGCTAACTTGCTTTCCAGAACCCATAGCCCCTTGGGCAGCTTCTGCTCTGAGTTCTGGAGATCCCCCGACGCCATCGGGGTCTGAGTCTCTGGGCCTGCGGTCATCCCCATCGTCCTACCCGCCCTTGGCCAGAGGTCCACAGCAAGCATGGAGCCATGATTTGACCTCCAGGGAACAACCCTAGGAGAGGCACCTGGGCTTTGGGAGCAGTGGGAGGGCTCTGAGGCTGCCGCCAGGGGGCGGTGCGGACACCCGGCCAGGGCGGCTGCTTTTCCCTCGGTGCCCTCAGCCGGCACCACGCTGCTCGGTGGGATCGGGTGCCCTCCGTGGGGCCAGTCACTGGGCCGCTGCAGGTGCCCCTGGGTCCATGACCGTGCCTCAAGCACATTCTGGAGCCCTGGGTCTGTGGGATGCGTGCCCGGGGTATCGGACCTGAGCGCGTGTGTGAGCGCTACTGTGTCCGGGTGTCCCTGTCCGCCTCTGGGGGCCTCAAGCGGGGTGTCCCTATAGGCGCCCAGGGCGGTGCCGAGCAAGGACCGCGGAGGGAGGCGAGGCCTGGGCCTGCGGGACCCAGCGTCCGCGGAGGAGGCCGCGGGGTGGACCGCCTGCGTCAGCCTTGAGCGGCCATCAATAGCGCGCGGTTAATTAATTTGATGGGAACAGCAGGGACCGCCGTTTGCATTTAGTGAAGTTCCAGGAACTTCCAACCTCATCTTCATAATTGGCCTCATAAATTGTAAGAAAGAGAGAGATCAGCAAAGCGGGAGGGAGGAGGGGCCGCCCGTCCGTCCTTATTTAATTTTATTGCTGAAATTCATCTTTTTAGCCTCCTCCGCTGGAATCGGCTCTCCCTGCCGGATTTGCCTAATCATGATAAATTAATATTCATTTCCCCACCTCTTACCCAGCTCCCGCGCCTGCCTGGAGTCGGGGAGGGTCCCCTTTGCGGCCCCTCTGCTGGGCCTTAGTGGGCACCCCCAAACCAGAGCTTGTGTACGGAACCGAAGGGGGCCGGGGCAGCGCAGGAGGGCGGATTGGGGAGGTGGGTGGGTGGGGTACCCGGCGGGTCCATCGGCTGCAATCCGCTCGCCCTGTCCTGCGAAGGGATTGAGAGCTGACCGCTCCCACTGTGCCCCTGCACTCTTCGGGGTCCCTGGGCAGACCCCGGATGGAGCCCTACAGGGTTGAGGGGCGTTAAGGCGCTCAGTCCCTGTGCTCACGACGCCCCCCACAGCCCATGGGCCCAAGAATCCTCCTCCACCTCCGGGAGGCCTGGGTGGCTCTTTCCATGTTTATGGCTGAGGAAACGGAGGTACAGGGCTGGAGGAGGGCAGTCGGCAGGGCTGCAGCGCGGAGAGAGCTAAGGGGGTGGCCCCGTATAACCTGCGTCTCCTCAGTCTTGCCCCTTTTGGGCCGCGGGAGGGCGGCGAGGCAGGCCGGCTTTCGGGCCCAGAGCCGCCCCGGACTGACCCCCTGGCGCCGGACCCGAGCGCGACCGACGGCGGGAACCGAACCTGCCTTCGCCTCCTCGTACCTGCACCGCACGCAGGCTGCGGCCCGGCTCCCAGGGGCCAGTCTGCGATCCTTCGTCCCCGCAGCTACGGGAGACAGCATCACAGGGCAGGGGACGAAGCTGACGCACGTCCAAGGGCTGCATCCTCAGGCCGTGTCCACCCCCCAGAGCACCACGGGACGGCGAGCAGGAACTGGCACTGTCCCCCCCCCCCTTTCTCTGAGACACAATCCCTGGCAGGAGCTGGTCACTCGTGCTCGGGCAAACCCAGGGCAGGTGGATGATCTGGGGACCTTTATAAGCCAGACTTTTCCAAGACAGTTTTCTTGGGGTCTGCGTGGGTACTGGGGCAGGAGCCCCTGCAGGTAAGGACAGACACGCCGGCTGCTGCACACATCTGCTGCATTTGCAGCATATGCCAACTGACCCCCGTGGCCTGGCCAGGGCACCCTTCACCCAGGTCTACCCGTGTACGACACCCTCATCTAGCATCCCCAGCAGCGCACGGGGTCGCCGTAACGTTCCTATTTTGTGGCAGGTGAGGAGAGCGACGGCCAGAGACGTCTATTTACTTCTCCTAACTCACACAGCATGTTAAGTTTCAATTCAAATACCTCTGCCCCAGAAGCCCAGCTGACTGTGGAGTCTCTCCCCAACCCCATGTACCCAAAGCAAACCTCCCTGAGCTTCTATGAGCCTGCAGTGGGTCGCGAAAGGACAGTCCCTGCCCAGAGCATGAACAAACGGAATCTTCTGGTACTTCCTTCTTCGGAAGGAAGACGCCCCTTAAGCCCCAGCCCAGCTGTTGGCTGGGGCCCTGGCTCTGCGACACCGCCTTCCGCTGCCTGCCTGGGAACCGTCCCGGAGCGCTGGGCGAGGACAGCGGCCCGCACCTCTACCCACCCAAGCCGACTGCCCGCAGAAGCTGCAGAACCCCCAAGGCAAAGGACGAAGTGCCCTCTGCGTGACCAACTTCATCGCCGCTTCCCAGGCCACAGCTCTGCTCCTTGCACCCAGGCTGAAAGTCCTATTTCTACTCCTAAGGACAGGCAAACGGACTCCCTGGGACCCGGAGCGGGTGCGGTTGCTGCACAGTTGGGGGGAACTGGAGCGCTTCGGGGGTTCGCGCTGCGCGACGCGCTTCCAGAAAGCCGCCAGCAGAGGGCGCGCGAGGACCGACCAAGACGCGCGGCGCCGGCTGGGGAAGACTGGGCTTTGTGGGGCGAGGTGGAGGGCGCTGCTGGCGTCGGGGCGGCGAACCCCAGGATGTGGGGAGGACGGGGTGGAAGGCAGGGCTCCCTGCAGGGCTCCTCTCCCTCCTGCGCTGGGTAGCAGGGTCTGCACATCGGGACCGGTGACCTTGGTGGCTAAATCGGACCCTCTTTCCCCCGACTCACCTGTAATCACCTCCTGGTGGGAGTTCTGCCCTTGCTCGAGGAAGCTCTAAAGCAGCAGACGAGGCTGGGATGGATGGATGGAGGCAGGCTGATGGATGGAGAGGGAAGGCGTATCTGCCCGGCCCTCGACGCGGGACCAGAGGTGCAGAGAGGAGGAAGGAGCGAGCGAGCGACCCGACCGGAAGGGAGGATGGAGGAGGACAGGGCTGCTGGGCACGCGAGGGGCCCCCGGCCCGGAATGGGGCGCTCTCCCGATACTGGGGCTTCCTCTGCCTCCTCTTCCCGGGGCTGAGTCGGCGCCCAGCTACCCGCCGCGCCCGTCGCCCGGCTCCAGCCGCCATGATTTATGGTTGGGCCAGGCCTGGCGACCTTGGACGGATAACTAATGACGGGTCAATAACGCTACAGAAAAAGTGAACTGGCCAAGGGAGGAGGGACGAGGCCCATTAGCTGGCCCATCCCTTTCCTTCGGGCACCTCCGCTGGAGTCCCACCGTGCCTGTGCCCACAGCACCGGGCAAGGGCTTCGCAGGGGCCCCTACTCGAGCTGCCAGAGGATAGAACTGACATGGGGCTGGGGGAAGGCACCAGAACGTTCCAGAGAGACTCAGAGTGGTCCCAGAAGGGGAAACGGGTGGGAGGGAAGATCAGTCCAGGGAAGCACTTCC